TAAAAAAAATAATAAATCAAAAATACATTATTTAGAAATATATATATATATATATATATATATATATATATATACACACACAATATCACTTGATAATTAGTAGGGATAATTCCAAGAAGGATATAAATCCAAAGAGAGTTTCATATAATAATGTATTCACTGTGTTTTTATATATATGATCCTTTATGTGGTTTTCTTACCTACATCGATGGATGTGTGTATATGTATAAGTATGTATGTATGTATGTATGTATGTATATATATATATATATATATATATATATATATATATATATATATATATATATATATATATATATATATATATATATATATATATATATATATATATATATATATGTATATATATAGTCTTTGCATTTTTAAGTTTTAGTCACTTAAAATGGTCCTTTACTTATCTCTTTATTAATTTAATCAATTTCTTTTAAAAATGTTTTTTAAGGATTTTTTTTTTAAATTGATGTTATTTCTTTATATTGATGTCAAATATTTTAATATTATTATTATTAATAATAATATTATTATCATTATTATCAGTTTGTAATTATGATGGTTATAATGCGATGGGGATACGGTCAAATCACGCTGAAACACGGTTCTCGTTCGATCACCGGGTTAAGCATCATAGAGCCAGGTCAGTACTTAGATGGGGACCACTTGGGGACACCTGGTACTGTAAGCCCCAAAGTCCAACCCTTACCTCACAGTCGGTGGGGGTGTAAACAGTAGTGTCAGAGCTATGCTGCCGGAACTTCGTTCCTGGTAAGGCCACCCAAGGCGGACAGGTCTGACACAAACGCCAGCTAACAAGGGCTCTGGTGAAAATCCAAGGAGCGTCTGCATCGGTAACCGGCGGCTTCTGGTCGTTCCTGTCTCTGCGTCTGTGGGAACCCCGCGGCAAGCAAGAACGTTATCCGAGTAGGCCTGGGTACCCTACTTCTGTAATTTATCCCAAGAATCTTCTTCTCATAACAGGAAGAAGCCGGCTCAATCCGCTCAGGGTGAATGCCGCATCAGTACAGTACAGTAGTAATGCGATGGGGATGATTTCACTGCTTAAAATGACTAGACAATTTCAATGTATCTATTTTGAAATATGATCACACTCTTCTCTCACCCTATTTTTCAACTTGTCAAGTTTGGAAATAAAATATATTCTGGGTTAACATAGTGTCTGGCTTAACTCCTTTCTTTCCCTCCCTCACTGTTATTCCCTTTCCCCTCCCCCTGTCTATCTCTTTTTCTCTTTCCCACCATATTGAAATCTCTGTCTTTCTCCCCCTTTTTTCTACACCCTTTTAATATTAAACCTTTTCCATTTCTCTCTCTCTCTCTCTCTCTCTCTCTCTTTCTTTTTTCTTTTCCTTGTATCTGAATAAATTGAACTACATTTATTTTGTAAAATTTGGTCTGAAGAGATGGACATCTGAGTCCATGAAATAATCACCTGACTGGATTTTTAAGGATTCTGTGTTCATTATTATATATATATATATATATATATATATATATATATATAGAGAGAGAGAGAGAGAGAGAGAGAGAGAGACAGACAGACAGACAGACAGACAGAGAAAGACAGGCAGACAGAGACAGAGAGACTGACAGATATATCTAGAAAAAGATGGGCATGAACCTCTGTGCCACACCTCAACCTACCTTCAGTCTGAAACAACTGTTACTCATCAGTCCATGTCACAGGTTGACAGTTCTTCAGGTTTCACTTAGTGATGTCATAACTTTATATCTTGTTGGGTGAAAGTGGTAGCTGCACTATTCTTTGAATATGTCCAGAATGTTCCTCAAACCAAGTGACATGATGCTTTATCCTGTTAGATTAAAGTCTTGTTGGGTTATATACCTTGTTGACAACTGGAGTCTATAGCTTCATGGGAATTTTCATCATACCAAATCACTACCAAAACTATATATGAAATATATACTGTATATATCAAATCATATAATAATTATCAGTGTATAGTTGTTTATATATTTTGTATTCTATCTGTATGGGGAAGGTGGGTAAATCAATTTGTTAGTAAATTTATGAGTGATTACTTTCCTTAGTCATTTTAATAATCTATACAAATAAAATATTTATCTGCATTTAGACAAAATTAGTTCCCAAACAAAATGAAACGTTTAATTAGATTCTTTGCTCTTATGTTTCTTATTTGTTCAAGCCTTTCATGTGAGGCACTCAGATATTGTTGTCTTTTAATTGATCATCTTTCAGCTTGGTCTTGAAATAGGTTTTGCCATTACTGTCTTTGTCAGTTTGTCACTAATCTAATATCAAGAGATATTACCATTTTACTGTTATATTAAACACATAAAATTTTTAACATGAAAGGATATTGAGCAAAACTCAATTTATATAATACCAGGGGTAATCAATGAATTACAGATACTATTGCATTTGTTATAGTACTTTAATAAAGATATTTTTTGATTCACAAATACATTTCGCTAGATATGGTGGCCTGATGTGAGTGCTAAGAAATCAAAACCCCAAATAAAAAAGTCATCTTCTATGCAGGGGCTCCAACCACCACATTTGATCCATAAAACAAATCCCCATAAAAATCAAAAATACAATAGTCAATCACAAACATTGCACCCCACCACCAAAAAAAAAAGAATGAGCCAGGAAGCCAGCACCTGTTAAACTTCAGATATAAAAATGGCATGCCTCACCATCAACAGGCAGTTTTGTTCAACACATTCAACCCTGCCCAAAACACTCCACAATCATGCGGCTTCACTAATCCACTCCAGATCTCTCTATGTCATCCTCAATGTGATCTAGATCAACTAACTAAACAAATCTGTCAACTTCTCCCAAATTACATCCAATTGCTTCCCTTACCAATAGCAACTAAGGAACCACATATCAACAATTTTCTCACTATTTCACACAACTATGTATACAGGGTACGATGAGTAAATTCTCGGCATTTTATATTTTTAATTTCATGCATGCACATTGTTTATTTTTGATTTTGTTCACTGCACAGTATAGTAGGGTCTGCTGGGTACCATCTGTGAGAAAAAGGGCACTATGTTGCAATTCACTCTGCCAGAAATTTGGAAATGGCATACTGTACTGTTTGGCATTCACGCCTGAAGTTCCAATACAAACATTTCAGAATGTTTGGGTGTCAATCTAAGGACAGTGTAGAGGATTCAGAAAGAGTTGGATGGAGCAAATGGTGATTATGAAGGTATGGCAACTTGGAAAACTCACTCTGATCCTTCTGATAAGAAAAGAACTCCCAAATTTATTGGTAAGGGCCTCGGACTCAACATGGAGCCCTACATCAAAGTGCCTTGAGGAGCTAGTGCTGCCATAGGTGAAGAGGGTGGCTGCTGTAGGATCCTATGTCTGGCAACAGGACTCTGCATCATGCCACACAAGCAGGAGAACCCTGTGATGGCTATCGGACAATTTCTGCCACCACATAACCTCTTACATCTGGCCACAACTACCCAGACTGCAACCCCCTTAATTATTATGTGTTGGGCACAGTTGAGTGAGAGACCAAGAAAACTCCTTTTAACACCAAAGATGAATTGAAGGCAAGGATTAGGGCAGTGTTCACCAACTTAAATAAGGAGACTGTCTAAAAGAATTGCGGGAGATTCCGAAGTCATCTGGAGACTATGGTTGAAGCCAATGGCAGTTTTATTGAATAAATTTTCTCTTTATTATTTCAAGATATTTTTGTGTAATTTTGCTAAATACATCTGTTAAATTGAGATGTCAGTGTTATTTTGATTTTTGTGTAATTTAGATGACAATTTATCCATCACATCCTGTATATTCTGCAAATTAATCAATACACACTGTTGAAATTTTAATCCTTGTTTGTGTTTTCCTTTGCAACCTTACACTGATTATAACACATTTATTTGCAAGTAACAGTTATGTTCAAACAAATCTATTCTGGTTTTTTTTTATTAATGCTGCTGCAGAAAAAGCATCAGTTACTGTATATTGTATCTGAATATGTTAATTATGGCATCCTAGATTCAATACACTTTTACCCTCTAAATATATTATTGAATAACTATTAAGAGGTAAATTAAGTATTAATATTGTATGTGTAATTACAAGTTCTCATATTATTTAAATACATTCTAGTTTTGCATTGGCATCCAAGATTCAACTCAAACTTACTCTATAAATGTAGAATCAATTTTAAATAATTCCTTATGTTTTATATTGTTTTGTGCATTTAAGAAAATTTTGTCCAGTGAATATCATAAAATGGAAAATTCCCTTGAAGAAAGGAGGAGATTAGAACAAGAGGGGAAACAAAGGCAGTGATTGTGCCTATCTCAGGATTGGATACGGGTATGACAGGAGGCTGATAGACAAAGATATTCACAGTCATCGTACGAATACCACGAAGCAATAAGAGCACAAACCAGGAGACACGTGGCTCAGTAGTGAACTAATGGGATAGAAGAAGAGGATAATAGGAGAAGAGCAGATCTGCATAGAGAGAGAGAGAGGGAGAGAGAGGGAGAGAGAGAGAGGGAGAGAGAGCAGTGCAAAGAAGACAAAATGAAACAGATGAATAATCTAATGCAAAGAGAGGAAATATCAGAATGGGAATGGAAGAATGTCTTCAATAAGAACAGAAGAGCAGCACAAAAGCAGGAGGAATGAGAAGACTGGCACCATGAGAAATTCAAGAAATGCACATCTTAAATAATCTTCTGTTTACTGAAACCAATTATCAACAACATAACTGTGGCAGATAAAAAATAAGCCATCATTTTTTATGGCACAGGTACACTAGTATATACAGTAGTAGACAGAATTACTCACCTCCTGTTCTATATTTACAAATAAAGCTGTAACATCTCAAATTTTCATGGAAACTTCATGTGCATTTTTTCACAAGTAATGAAATAATGGTTTGGTTTGGTTTGGTTTGTTTTGCTTTACGGCATATCAACCTCAATGGGTTATTTAATGCTGACAATTTTTATTGCTGGTAATATTTTTTTTCTTCAAAAATCTATTGCTGGTTTGGTTTACAGCATATCAACCTCAACAGGTTATTTAATGCTGACAAGATTTTTATTGCTGGTAATTTTTTTTTTTCAAAAAATGTATTGCTGTTAATATTTTCTCAAAAATGTATTGCTGGTATTAAAACCAATTTTTACACTTTCATAGTATTTTGACTCTAGTTTAGGGGTTAACTATTTGTCCATAGCTGGGACCTTAACAGGTGCTACCACTCTGGGTCAAGGTGGACCTGGGAACACCAGCAATTAAGAGGTTGTTCCATGTTCTTCAAAGCCTCCTGATCAGAAGCCTTGCTGTTGGATGTAGTTTATCGTCTTACCCAGGACACATGAAATAATGGATTTGAATGAATGCCAACAACAAAATTTTTATTTTAATGTGAAACAATAATACAAAAGCATCCAAAAAACATTTAAGATAGGAAAAAATTATTGGCCTTCTTGCCTTAATAATCAATTGCATAACTTTTATTCTTGATTATTGCTTTTAATAATTTTTGATAGTTCCTTACAAGATCATTACACTCACTGATAGGTATTTTGATCCATCCTTCCTTGGCAATAGCTTCTAGTTCCTTCGAATTCAAAGGACTTACTTTTTTCTTCAAATATGTCCATAAATTTTCAATGGGTTTTAGGTCAGGACTTTGTTTGGTGTATGCTAATACCTTAATTTTGCTGTCATCTAAGTATTTTATAACAATTTGTGACATGTGTTTCAGGTCATTATCATGTTGGAACGTTCAGTGACACCCCAGAGACAGCTTTCATGCACTTTGTTTTATATTATTTTTAAGAATAGCCAAATACTTCTCTTTATCCACAATACCCTGTACTTGCACTAGATCTCCTTGTCCAGAAGCAGCAAAACATCCCCAGAGCAGAATGCTCCCACCACCATGCTTAATTTCAGGGAGGGTACTTTTTGATTTGTGAGCTTCATTCACTTTCCTCCATATATAACGGGAGTTCATGTGATCAAATAATTTTATTTTGATTTCATTTGATCATAAAACAGAGTTCCAATATTTGCTTTTATATTCTAGATAGCTTCTAGCATAAGCTAATCTGGATTTTAGGTGTTTAGCCTTAAGCAAGGGAGTTTTCCTTAGGCAATAAGCTCAAAGTCCTGTTCGATGAAAGCATCTAGTGACTGTCTTCATCGATGCAATCAACCCTGATGTCTTTACACCATTGACAATGTCCTTTGTTGTTAAGTGAGGATTCTTCAAGACATCTCTAACAATTTTCCTTTCCATTTTATCAGAAATTAAACGTTTTCTGCCAGTCCTTAATTTATTCTCAACACAATGAGTCTTGTTACGCTCCTTGATAATGCTATGAATTGTTGATCTAAGTATATTTAAACACTTAGAAAGTGTTGTATATCCATTGCCTTGTTTGAACGCATTAAATGAATAAGTTATCGTGGTATGTGGTACTCACATATTGTCTTATTCTTTACTTTTTAAAATGTTATAGAGTCAAGTCAATACTATTTCATTTTCAAAGGGTGTTTGTATTAAATGTCAAATTAAGAAAAAAACTTTACAATTGCTATAGAGCAATATTATTTCATAATCTTCATAAGAGATGATGGGCAAATAGTTTTGGATTGCACCAATTTTTATAAAAATTTATAACTATAAATATAATAGATAGAAACTTCTCAAAATTTCACAAATTATTCAAAACTAAATACAGAATCAACTATTTATGGTAAATTCAGTAAGTATTTGCAAATATTTGCATTTCTTTTAGAAAATATGAAATATTCAGTGGGGGTGAATAATTATGTCTGCAACTGTATATATATATATATATATATATATATATATATATATATATATATATATATATATATATATGTTGAAACTTGACTAATGCATGGAATAATAATGCAACACAAAATGTACTTAGAACAAAATGTATTGAAACAAGAAAGTGTACACAATATTTACATATAGTCTTTTGCATATTCCTGGTAAGACCGTTCATGGAGAATGTACTGACTGAGTCGCAGTCGGGCAGAGTCTCTGGTTGAATCTCTTGATTCCTCACTCTCTTCTCGGTACCAACCATATTTATATGGTCAGTACTCCACTATGCAAATTAGGTGGATCCTACCACAACAATATATTAAGACATTTTTTATGCTTATACATTCTTTTTATAGATACAAATATTTAAGTAAATATGCGTCCTCCGACAGAAATCAACAGGTTTGATTCTTGTTGGAGGACGCACATTTTCTATGAAAATTTCTCAGACATTCAGGCTTGTAAATGTTGTTTAATACTGTTTATTATAAACAAAGCATTTACTTAAATATTTGTATCTATAAAAAGAAAGTAAAGACATAAAAAATGTCTTAAAATAATTGTTGGACTTTGTCCATTTAATAATAATAATATATATATATATATATATATATATATATATATATATATATATATATATATATAAATGTAAACTAAATGAAGAACAGAACTAAGGCAACTCAAATTTCACCCTAACAATGAGGGATTGTCAGGCCAGGTTAAATCTTTATCAAGTATTGCTTGCAGTTTATTCCTTAAATATGGAAAACTCATGATTTTTCTTCTTTTTTTTGTTGGCCTATTTCTGTGGCAAATGTTCAGATGAGCAACAATCGTTAGTTCCACCAGTTCAGACCTTCACACCTAGGACCTGCCATGTCAGGTATACAGTGTTAATTTATCCTCATCCTTTCATATTCTATTGGTAAGAAGGAATTTTCACTTAGAGAACTTCTTCCTCAGAACTGTTATTTTATGGAACAGACTCCCAAGAAGATGCTTCCTTGATCACTCCACTCATAACCTCTTCAATTCTAGGGTCAACTATTATTTATCTTTATTTATCCTACATATCCTCCTAATATGAACTTTTTACTTCTTCTCTTTATGTCCTTATAGTGGCTTTTGGTAGAGGGTTACTGAATGATGTAACTGTAAAATAGTATAAAAAATTAGGCTGAAACAACAGAAACCATGAGTCATGGAACCACATGGTACATTGAAAATCCTCCAGGAAAATATGTTTCTCAAATCCAATAGCTGGTATCACTCTTTCCAGTATTGATGGATTTTTCCTTCCTAACCTTTTATTTGAAGTAGTATGGAATATCAACATCTTGATTATGTCATTATTTTCTTATCAAGTTTATATGTACTATTTCAGTTGCTGATCTTGTTAGAATTCCTCAAGTGATGTAATTTCTGTTATTTGGTAAAGTTCTTTGTGATTCTGTAGCGCTAGTCCAAGAAGTTCAAAGAAGGATGGTCTTCATTTACTTGCTCAGAGTCCCTTTTAGCTATCGATATTAGAAAGCAGTTATATACAGTTGTCAGTGTAGATATTTCTGAATGGCTTTGCCGCCATGCATGACATTCATAGGATCTGATGAGGCTATTTAAGAATAAGACTCATGTTTTTAGGCTAATGTTCTGGGTTTGTAGCAATTTTCTGTGTTGGGCTAGGTATTCCTAATACATGTTACATTTTAGAGCAAATGATGTCAAATATCTGCACAATTTCAGAAATGTAATGTTTTGTCTGGTACCCACTATCCCACCCTATTCATAATTCATATTGTCATTCCATGAGAAGCTTAGCCATTATTTATACTGACTCCTCAGATAAGCCAGACTACAACTTATATATCTCTGGGCATTTCCCTAATGTATGGTGGTGCCATCTACCATTACCTTGACATACTGCCAATCTATGACTTTTGGTACATCAGTGTATAAAAGCATAGAGATACACAAATATGAATTGCTTAGTAGATTGATTGATTGATTGCAGTTGAATAGAGATAACGAGACTTGAATGAAAGGAGCAAGTGATGGAAAAACTAGTCAAATAATATTTGACTGCTTTTTGTTTATTAGCAGTTTTAGAAATAGAATTTTGGCCATATCTCTCAGCTGGACAGATTGAGATAGACATGAACAAATTAAAAAAACATAGGTGGACATAAAAACTGGTATAGATATGAATAGATTGACAGACAGATACAGCAGGCTGATGTAGATAGATATAAATAGACTATGGAGAGAGAGAGAGAGAGGAAAGCAGAATAAAATCTAGATATATGAATAGATAGATTGATAATCAGACTTAACAGGGATAGAGAGTTGATATAAATGAATTGAAACAGATATGAACAGTCTGAAATAGAGGGAGAGTGAAATAAACAGACTGAGATAGATAGATAATGAATAAACTGGCATAGATAATGAATGGACTGATATAGATAAATGGATAATGAATAAACTGACATATATAGATAAATAAATAGATAGATAATGAATGAACTGACATAGATAAATGGATAGATAATGAATGAACTGACATAGATAAATGGATAGATAATGAAAGGACTGACATAGATGGATAATGAATGGACTGACATAGATAGATGGATAATGAATAGACTGACATAGATAGATAATGAATGAACTAACATAGATGGATAATGAATAGACTGACATAGATAGATGGATAATGAATAGACTGACATAGATAGATAGATAGATAATGAATGGACTAGCATAGATGGATAATGAATAGACTGACATAGATAGATGGATAATGAATAGACGGACAGAGATAGATAGATAATGAATGGACTAACATAGATGGATAATGAATAGACTGACATAGATGGATTATGAATAGACTGACATAGATAGATAGATAGATAGATAATGAATGGACTGACAGAGATGGATATTGAATGAACTAAGATAGATGGATAATGAATGAACTGACATAGATAGATGGATAATGAATAGACTGACATAGATAGATAGATAATGAATGGACTGACACAGATGGATAATGAACGAACTAAGATAGATGGATAATGAATAGACTGACATAGATAGATAGATAGATAATGAATGGACTGACACAGATGGATAATGAACGAACTAAGATAGATGGATAATGAATGGACTGACATAGCTAGATAGATAGATGAAAATCAGGACATGTATTGACTGAGAGAGATTGATAATCAGATTTTAACTGAGGTAGATATTAACAGAAATAAATAAATATATAAATACCAAATTTAATTTGTTTTTGGAGCACTCAATGAATATCAAAATTACTATACCTGGGAGGTGAAAATAATAAATATTATTAGAACTTAATGCTGCCAGAAATTCTGAAAAATGTTTTCATTATTCCAGAAACTGAGTCTATGGAACTCTGTTGCTCCAATAAAAAAAAATGAATAAAAAAAAATAAGCACTTGTCAAGGACCATTTTATAAAACATATGCCTGAGTGAGAAGATGAAGAGAGGCAATGCGATAAAAACAACAAAGATGAGGGTGCTAGTAAGAATGACAAAAATAATAAAATTCTTACACTTGATAATCATCTTTATTTCATAGACCCATAAAACTTTTTAAAAGAGACCAATTTTGAAATGAAACCAGTGAATGTTTTCCACCAATATTTGAATTAAACTCTTGGGGACAGAAGATTTATTTGAACAAATCTATATAATACAAAACTACAATTCTCCATTTACAAACTGATTTCTTATACTTGAAAAATTCAATAAACGTTTCCATTTTCATTCTTACTAATGGGAAAGAGCTATGAAAGAGATTTATTCTCCTATTTATATTTCCCCCATTATGGGCAGTGTCATATTCATGATATAATAACACTGTATTTCATGGATAGAAATGGCTGAAAGGAAAAGGAATGACAAACGTGCTTTGTTCTCAAAGATAGTTTTATACCACTAAGATAGACACAAAAATATCTATACATATTTACATATGTCCCACACAGAATACACAATCAAGCAGAGTGAAAGGAGAAGGAAAGATAGGATCTTATATATAATATGGAGATTCTTCTGTATCTGGAGAAGCCATATTGAGGACCTTAGATTCAAATAGGACAGATTAATCTACTATTCTATGAACAGGAAATGGCAACTCTTAGGTTTTCTCAAATTGAGGACTGCAAGCCAGATTTTCTTTCTATATCTGGGAAAGATATATTCCCAAAGAGGAATGGCAACATGGACTTGTAAGCTGTAGCATTTAGCAGCTGGCTGCCCTGGGCAGGACAAATAACACTTGTATCTTGGCACCAATAGGCTTACTGACTGAATGAATGACTATTTTCTTTATGAAGTGATGTTACTAAGTGGCCATCATGTGGCCCATGCAACTATCTCAACCAAAAGGAGATAATCACCTTTTGTATCCTTACACTAAAAAATGTTTTGACAGTCTAATTTAGATATAAGAAATAAATGAGAAAAATTGCATAAAGATAAAACATTTAATTGATACTGAATATAGAATAAATATTTATACAAAGCCTTAGATGGAATTCAAATTACCAAAATAGAAAGTCTATTCTTGCAAACAAAAGCCAAACTAGTTTTTTGAGAAATTTTTTGTCAAGAAAAATCCTTGAGCAAACTTGAACATATGTGCCCACAAAAAATGTAGTATCAAAAGAATGGTTTTTCCCTTGATACCACTATTATTTTAACTACCTTCACTTCTTAGTAATGTTTATTGTTTTAAAAGTGATAATTACAATTGTAAACATGATGAAAGTGAATTTATACATTTTTGTGCTTTAGAATTTACAACCAAAATATTAATCACTATTTATTGCATTATTTATTTACAAGAACAATTTTATATTTAAAACATTCTAAAAATTAATACAATTGAACTAAAACTAATGCAAGGCAATATTTATCATTTATCAATTTATAAAGAAATAAATCTGAAAAAAATTTTTATTCATAAATTTATAAACATTTACTAAATTATGCTATTTACATTATTTGGACTATTTTCCTCATCTTTGTTGCTATATTTATCACAACATTTCGTCTGATGTATGCTCCAGCCTTCTTCAGGTGGTTGGAATGTCAAACTGAGCCCTTTATTTCGCTCACTGGGGTAGACTGTTCTAGTTTCACATGCCATGTCTAATGGATGTCAGTTATCAGTTGTCTCCTGTTAATTCCCCTCTCCAAGTTCTCCACTGCCTTAATGAGGTATTGAACTCACAATTCTTTGGGTCCTGTCACTGGATCTAACCAATGCCTTTATCCACTGTGCCATGTGTCCTAAAGAACACCTAAAGAAGGCTGGAGCGTACATCAGCTGAAATGTTGTGTTAACAAAGATGAGGACAATAGTCCAAATAATGTAAATAGTTTACATAATACCTCATCTCAGAAATATAGGCATTTACTAAATTATTAAAATATGTGAACCAACAATAAGGAAATCCTTATTTATCCTTTAATAAAATGTGAATCAATTGGCAATTAGCCAATGTTTTGCCAACCATTCCAAAAACAATATAATAAACAGTGTAAAAATAAGAGCAGTGGTAATGGCAAAACTATTCTTTTGACACTGTTTTTTTGAGGGCACAAAGATCCAAGTTTGCTGACTCTTGAATTCTAAGTAAGCCTTTTAAAAATAAATCTTAAAAAATCTAATAATGAACAGACAATAAATATTCCAAGAAAGCCTCAGACCAAACTCAATTAAATCCCAACGTTGAAGGTTTATTCCTGAGAACCAAAGTCAAGATTGTCTTCTGAGAAACTTTTTCTCAAGAAAGACTCTTGAATTCTTAGCAAGCCTTTTAAAAATAAAATAAAAATATAGTCCCCCGATTTCTTTACATAATTTTTGCGCATAACGTTCCAACACAAATCTATACTATTATTTGGCTTGTTTGTATGTACAGCCATTATGATGTTCTATCGAGGATCTGAATGTCCTATTGACATGATCTCTGGTCTTTCTGGAATGTGTTACGCTTTTTGACCAAGAAACACACATAATAATATTATGCAGGAAGGAAATGGGAAAAGTGAGGAGGAGGAAAAGATGGGAATTAATGGTAAGTGAGTAAGAACATTGGAGAAAAACAGAAAGAAAACCAAGTGAAAGTAAATTTCATATATATATATACATATATATATATATATATATATATATATATATATATATGAGAGAGAGAGAAATGGGTGGAAGGGATGGATATGAAAGACAAGAAACATCCATGTTGGTTGGATATCAAGAAAGAATGAAAGTTTGCAAAACAGGTATGAACTGAAAGGGCTAAAAATTGTGATACAGCAGAATTCTTTGTAGAGAGATCAAGTAAAAAGAAAAATAAGAGAGAGTAGCAGTTGAAAATATTTGTGCATTCCTTATTCCTTTTTCACATATGAAACTAATCCATGTTTGTATAAGATTTAGATAACAACATAGATACTGGAAAGAATGATACAGATTTGAAAGGATAAGGAAGAAAATTAGAAGATACAGGCAAAGGGTGAGAGAATACCAGTTATTAATCTTAGTTGTCAACATATCATTTTTATCCATGCACCTCATTTATAAATTATTATTTGTCTTAAGTTTTAACTCCAGCTAATTTCCTGCTTGGATCACTGCAGAAAATTTGCAATACAACTTATGAACAACACTATAAATTATTCTGATGAACTTTCCTCTTTGGTACCTAGACTTTATAAATTTAAGCACAGTACTAGATTGGCATCAAGGTCCCATCATTTTAGAGTTGAAATGGCTAGATGTAACCATAAGTTCTATTCTAACAATTTTGTCTCTCACACTTCTCACTTGTGGAACTCTCTTTTGGCTTCTTGCTTTCCAGTCAACTTTGATCATCAAAAATTTAAATGTAATGTTGTTATCATCTATCTTCTTAATTCCCATTTTTTTTTTTATTGTTCTCCCTTCTTAATAGTGTTTATTTTTTTCATATTCTCTCACATTCTTGCATATTAGTGGCTTTATTGCCTTGCTTGGAGTGAAATGATTATTTATATATATATATATATATATATATATATATATATATATATATATATATATATGGAGAGAGACAGAGAGAGAGAGAGTGTCATTCCATTAATTTGAACTTTTTTTCAAATTGGGCAATAATAATTTTTGTGGACCCCATATTTTGAATAAATATACTCTTTAGCTTAAAGTTCCCTGGTTGTGACATGTACCACTCAAGAAATGTGTTGTCAAAAAACCTGAAATAATCCTATGGACTTATCATGACACTGCCATTATCATCTTTGAAGCATTCTATAATTTTGCTGCCTATAATACAAGCATAAATCATTAATCAAACTCCCAACTGTTGTCTTCTAAGTAATGTAGGTTGATTATTTCCATGAAGAGCCCAATCTCTAGACTAGCCATCAGGTCGATCTAATGTAGCTCGGCATTCACAAAGAAAAATTACTACTGAGAAATCAGTTTTCATGTACTCTGACTAATTTATATTTGTGATATTTACTTAATAGGTTTGATTGCTTTCATGCCTTCAGCCAATGTTCTTAATATTCTGCATCCTTTTTCTCTGTTTACATTGGCAACACTAGCTTTTTCAAATACATTCTTGCTGGTCAACTGACTTTTTTTGCTTATTAGCCATTTCATTTTCTTTAAATATCCATTTGTGACATTTTGAATGCCATTTTTTCATGTTCTGTTCTTGCCAAAATTTTTAATTTTTTTTGATTGGTCTTTTATGTCTGTTCAACATTTTTGCAATCTCCAATGTTGTGTTTCCATCATTCAATAACTTTACAATATCGTTTTTGTCTATTGAGATCATATATATCTTATGAATCATGGCAAAATTTTTATATATGAAATTAAAAAAATAAATATTAACTTTATTATTATTACATATATAGTTATTTAAAATATAAAGAACCTCCAAGTAAATAAAAAAAATCTGATATAATATATATATATATATATATATATATATATATATATGGAGTGTGAATATGTATATATATATATATATATATATATATATATGTGTGTATGTATGTATGTATGTA